AATACAGCAGTCATTACTCATTGAACTCATCGCCGTCTCACTCGTCGGCGTCGAGCGATGGTCTCGACCTAAGGCTCAACACGTCTGCCGTCCATAAGGTTTGCCATTCATGTCATGTAAATGTTTGCCATAATTGAGTTAAACACTCATTTCAAGGCTTTTATTCAGAATTTCATTATCTTTTTTGTAGGAATTATAATGAGAAATGTCTTTTCGTATGTCATTTCAAATTCAAAGCTTGTATATATTTTTCAATTCAATTACAAATAAGTTTTAGAATTTTATTACTATTCAAAAATTCAAAAATCAATATTAATATTAAAAATACTTTTAAGAGAGACCTTTAAAATACAATCTCTCTCTCTCTCTCTCTCTCTCTCTCTCTAACAAAATGAATCATTTGTCAATCTTATGAAACATGTTATTCGCATGAATTCCTCGACATCGACAGCAAAACCCAACATTTTAATAACAATTCTTATCATGAGTTTTGAAATTTAAAATTGAATTTAATATAGAAATTATTGGCAAAATATTTTTATCAATTTTGATTCGAGTCTATCCCTAATACCGATGTTCCGTTTAAATTGATTTTTTAAAACCATTATTTTTAAAAACTAATTTTTGTCAAGAATTTCTTGTTTTCGACCGAGAATTACAAATTGATTGCTCGCATGTAATACATAAATCTCTTGTAATACATTAATTTGCATCAAAATGTTGAAGTCCGTGAATGTGGAAACATTTTAAAGTCATTTTTTGTGTTAAATTAATTTGCTTCACCAGAACATATTTTACACATTATTTTATTTTTTATAATGTAAGAAACAAGTCTAATCTTTTTTAAGTACACATATACTTATTGTAATTTTTATCAGAGTATTTATAGTCAATTTATATATTTATTTAAATTATGGTATATTAGGAATTCACTTCAAATTCAGAATTAACCTTTAAATAAAAATTATGTTAAATAAAAAATAATCAATAATACTTGTATTAAAGACATTTCTATAATTTTTTGTATCTTGATTACTGACATTCAAACTTGACGTTCACTTCTGGGAATTCTTACTAAAAGAAATACACTTTATTTGATACACAAGACTAAAATACATGACAATTGAGAACAAATACGTAAATCTCTATAGACTTGCAATTAATTATATAACAAATCTATTTCTTTTGCTATGGTTTTCTTTTTCAATTCTGTAATACAAACACAAAGTCTTTAGTATTATTATTAAAGACTTTTCCTGATTTTGAGCTCATGTTTCGATCTTTGAATTTGCTGTGAATTCACTTTATTTATAGTAAAGACAACGACAAACGAGTATTAGATTAATACTTATCATTAACTTTAGTATTAATGAATAAATTCTGTTTTCTTCATACAAATGGTTTGTATCCTAATTAGCATTAACTTAACAAATGTTGAAATTAATTGTTAAATAACAAAACAAAAGGCATTCAATTCTTAATAATAAAGATTTCTTTGAACTGTTTAAATAAACTCAAAATAGTTTTCAATCAAAACTCTCACAAAAGTTTCTTTTATAAAAACGATTAATGATTACATTCAAGACATTAAGTTCACAACACTTCCTATAATACTGTGTACTTTAAACACTTGTGTTTTAATAAAGTTTATTAAATATGATTAACAGATACTTATGGGCCGTCCAGTGATGGTCCGGCGCCATCGTAATGAAGACGAGTTACAAATCAGTGATAATTCATTCGCAATCGACTGTCTCTATTGGCATAACGTGTTTCGGGCCAAACATGGGTCGCCCCCACTGTCCATCTCCTATAGACTGGTGAATATGGCAC